TCTCTTGCACATGTGTTTCTGTCTTGCTCTCTTCTACTTGAGGGATCCAAACCAGCCCCAAAAGACACATCCACTTGCTAAGTTGTAAATTTACAGCTAAGATGGAGGAAAGGGGGTAGGCAGAATAAGGGAAATTACAGATAACTTGTTTTAAGTTATACAATTCTGCAACATAAAGCATTCCTTAAAACCTGTGTGTGTGTGTGTGCATGTTTTAAACCCATTAAGCTCAGTCTTGTGCAAGTAACAATTCCCTTATTTCCACACTTGGACCATATATCCCAACACGATTAAACTAGCTGATGGCATTTGTGTTTCTAATCCAACCCATGGCTACTGGACAGACTTGAAAAAGGTTGGCAGTTTTTACATACTAGATCAGCCTGGGAGGATGCCATGTGTTTCTATACAGAAAATGTAACCTCTTAGGTTCTAAGAGAGTGTAAATACTTTAATGATGCAATTCCAAATGCAAAAAGTAGCCAATGTCCTGAGTAGAAAAACTATATTACCATCCCCTGCTTACTAGCAGGCTCACTGAAGTATATATGAAGTAAACTTGCTCAAAATCCCCCATTAGGGAGGCTGGGAGTAGAAAGAGGTGACCAAGAAATAACATGGTGTATAAAAAATCTACTCAGAAGAAAGCATAACTTCTGTTGATGCACAGCTTACCAAAAGCTGGCATACACATGAACGATGGAACCACAATCACTGTTTTCTGAGAATTCTTTGGTATTACATTTTTCCAAATGTTCTTTATGTCTTACGTTTTTCCATTTGCAAAAGCCCACTTACAATTGTGCTTTTCGTTAGTTGATATTAAATGTTATATTCAGGCTGTATACATTTTATGTGACTGTCTTCATCTTAAATCAACAGTTTAAAATAATCCAGACAGGTAATTGCCTCAATGATTCTAGATCCAAGAACCAAACTAGGTATTCTATTTAGCGATCTAGCCAATCCTCTTTCTTTTAACAAAAACAAAGGAAGGGAGGGAGGGAGGAAAGAATAAAGAAAGAAAAACAACTATAATTTAGTTCTTTGCATGTAATTTTAAAAGAAATCAATTTACAAATCCTGTCAATCACATTCATTACAAATAGGAAGTACTACCACTAGCAGCATAACTTTAAGTAGTAGTGCAAGACTGTATGCCCTAAGTGTGGACAAAGGACCAACAGTATTGACATCACCTGGTAGTTTGTCAGAAACGCAATATCTCAGGCCAGACCTTAGACCTCTTGTATAAAGATCTGCAATTAAACAATATCCTCAGGTGATTCATGTGCACATTGAAGTTTGAGAAACACTCATATTTAAGAGATATGATATATTTTTGTCTCTTAGGATACTACCAATAAATAAAGAAAATTATTTACTATTTCCTACTACCAGTAGGACACTCTGCAAAACCACAAGTAGGATATAAATATGAATATGATCCCACCTAGCGTGTATTAGATACTAACTCTCTACCAGATGCTCTAAGTGATTTACATGCATTTATTAACTGAATCCTCATAACAGCCCTAAGAAAAGGATGATATTATTATTCCCATTCACAAAGGAGGAAATTAAGGCTAAGAAAGGTTAAAAGTAACTTATCCAAATTGACCCAATTAGTCTGATGTGAAGTCAGTATTTGAAATCAGATAAGTCATTAACCAAAGTTCACATGATGGGGCTTCCTTAAAGCTTGGGGTTCATACCAAAGTGGACATTAAAGCATTAAAAATTGCTAACAATTATAAACTCAATAAAATCTTAATTAAGAATAGGATTTTATTAAACTTGACAGGCTATGTGTAAAGAGAAAATGTATGTGATTCATAAAAGAAGTGTTTTTAAAAAAGTATAAATACATACTACTAGATTTTTAAAAACACTATCAAAAGCTACAGTGGGTTAACTCAGCGTGATACTGGTATAGGAAGATACTATATATATATATATAATCAATGAAACAGAATAGAGTCCTGACCCAGACCCTTTTACAAACAGGAATTTATTTTAGATAAAAATAGAATTTCAAATGAATTGGAAAAAAAGCCAAATTATTAAATAAAAGCTATTAGATCAGCTGTCTAAAACTTTACAAAAAAATTAAGTTACAAAGCATCTATCAAGTGGAAAAATGGGCAAACCCTTTGAGGCAAGAATACCTCTCTGCAGATTCTCTTCCACAGAAATACACTTGAGCACGAAGATGAATGTGTGATCTGCCCTGAAGCAATGTTGCTAATGCTAAATCTCCATCAACACAGGAAGAGACTGATAAATTATATTCTATTTCTACTTTAGAATTACATGTAGCTGGATGGGTGCAGTGGCTCATGCCTGTAATCCCAGCACTTTAGGAAGCCAAGGCAGGCAGATTGCTCGAGCCCAGGAGTTCAAGACCAGTCTGGGCATCATGGAGAGACCCCATCTCTACTGAAAATACAAAAAATAAATAAATAAATAAAAATAAAGTCAGGTGTGGTGGCATGTGCCTGTAGTCCCTGCTTCTCAGGAGGCTAAGGTGAGAGGATCACTTGAGCCCAGAAGGTGGAGGCTACAGTCAGTCATGATCATGACACTGCACTTCCACCTGTGCGACAGAGTGAGACCCTGTTTCACCAAAAAAAAAAAAAAAAAAAAAAAGAGTAACAAGTAGCCATTAACAAAAGAGGTATGTACAGACCATGGAAAGACCTCTGAGACTTGGAAAGTGAAAAAGCAAGCTGCATAATAAGTATAGTAAGATTCATTTGCATATTTAAAACATACGTATATGTATGTATTACGTAAATCCAGAAAAGAAAAACAAACCTTAGAATGGTATTATCAAACTTAACCTTCCCTCTTCTGAGTGGGAGTAGGGTGGTGATGGCACATCTACATTTCACTTTACTTCTATATTGTTAGAGCGAGGATGAGTTGTTATTATTTGTATTACTTTTAAAACATAAAAATAGAATACAACACGGAGTCCACAAATGCAGAGCAACCAGTAGAACTAAAGTGAGGAGGGAAGGAGGGCTGTGAAGCCACCGTACAGCTGACGGAAAAGAAATTCTCCCTTCAATGCAGCTACAAAGAAGCCTGCTTGGAGGAGGGGTTTCTCCCGCAAGGCCACGATATTCTTTTTGTTTTGGTTTTGGTTTTTTTCCCCCCGTCTTACACATTTTTTAAGAAATCAAGAAGAATTTCCTCCCCCAGGGAAGGGAGGGCCAAGGCTCACTGTTCCTGTAAATGAAGGAGATGACACTACGATTCCCTTCTACTGTAGCCAAGGAACGCCCCAGCCCTTTCCCACAAGAAAAACCTACGCTTTCTTCTTGTCAAATGTAGTACCACTGATTTCTCTTTCAAAACCGTAATAGTTCTCCTAACTTGGTTTTGTCCTCAGGACAAAGGGTTACAAAAATATTAGAGATCCAGCAACACCTCTGCATGTGTTCCTGGTCTGTTCAGGCTACAGAAAAGAGTGGAGGGGAAAGAGGAAGTGTTTAAGTGTTCTCTCCCCAATGCAGCTCGAGTCCCTGAGGAAGGAACACCCAAGACCAGCCTTTTTCTCTCAAAGCCACCTTTGATACAAAAGGCTGAGCTACACCTGCTGGGACAAATAGTGGCAGAACTGGGACCAAGATATAAGTCACAAGGAGGCAATTTACAGCTGAGAACTAGCTCTTCCTGCAATAAAATGTGAGGTGGTGAGCTTCCTAGCTCTGGAGGCACTGAACAAACACTACTGGGGAAACATTAAAAGGAGCAGTTCCTGACGACTCTGAATCGGAGGCTGTGGTTGTAGTCTGATGCTCTGGAAAGCTTCAGAAATGATTCTCAGACACAGCGGAGTTTGGGAACCTCAAGGACCTCTGAGTGCATTTTAAAGCAGCCCAGGAGAGAGACAAGCAGGACAACAATAAAACACCCGGTCTTAGAGTTTGAGCCACAGCACAGGGATCACGAGCAGACTCTAAACCCAAATCCTGATCCTGCCACCTGCTAGCTGTGTGACCCTAGATAAGTTACAAAGCCTCTTTGGGCCTCAGTTTCCTCAATACAATAAGAATGACAAAACTAGTACCTGCCTCACTCTGAAGCTTAAATGAGCTAGCATATGTCAAGTGCTTAGAATAGGGGGCTGGCCCACAGTAAGTATGAACCATTATGATTTTGCAGACAAGAAAACTAAGAGGTGATACGTAGCTTGACCCATATTCCAAAGTCAGTTTTAATCTTGGGAATAAGACCCCAAAATTTCTTTCTCTGCCATCAGAATTCCTTCTAGCTCAAACTAGATATCCCACATTCATTCCTACCTTTTCTGCCAACATAGACCCTCCCATTTACTTCTCTTGAGCATCTTCTTCCCAAAGTGTTCTCCAGGCAGGTCTGTTACCAAGCCACTCCATCAGCAGCACCTAGAACTGTGCCTCCGCAGCAAGGCAGGCAGGATGGATGGACGGATGCAGGCACGCATGGGTGGGTAGATGAACGGCAGATCAAGAACTATCAAGAAAGGAATGGCGGTGTCAGAAATAAAACCCTGGCCTGCACGAGCCGGCTTGGATTTCACTGCCCTCACAGCTAACTATATGGCCTTGGGCAAGTTACTAAACCCCTCCGTGCCTAGGTTTCCAGAATGTAGAGGACCACTTCCATTCACGTGGCTGGAGAAGAAGCTAAGCGCCCGGGACACTACCGCCGAGTCGCCGAGGGTTTCCTCTGTCCACCTGTGAGTGAGCTCCTACCCCTTCTACTCTAGGGAGCAGGTGGGGAAGATACAAGGATTCCCAGAGAAATGGCTCTGTCGGTTGGGAGTTAAGGGTTACGAGAGGAGAGGAGAGGTTGGGGAAGCAACCTTCCAAGAGGGGATCTTCACTCAACAAGCATTCCCCCATCATTTGAGAAAGAGGCGCTGGGATGGTGAGTTTCACACAGGTTGTGAAATGGGAGACCCGGCAGCGTGCGGCTTGTAAGGAATGAATCTTTGAGTGTTTACCCACCAGGTAGGTGGGCCTGGGGCGAGGACCCTCCGAGTGCCGTCCCCGCGCAGGTGGAAGCCCAGCCAAGGCAAACGCGAAGCAGGGGCAGCGCCAGGAGGGGAGCGGGCGGCTGCGCTCCCGGCCGGTCCAGCAGAGACTGGCCTCCAAGTGTTCGGATTCTTTCCCGCGCAGCGCCGGGCTCGCCCGTCGGAAAAGCCAGGGAGGGCGGCGCGGCGCCGGGGCTCCAGCACAGCGGGGCCGGGCGCGTCGGGGATACTCACGCCGCGGGCGAAGGGCTCCGCGAGCCGGGCCGAGTCCTCCGCGGCGGGTGGGGCGCGGGTGCGGGCGCCGGTGTGGACGCCGGAGCGGACGTGCCGAGGCGGCCCGGGCCGGGGCTATGAATCAGCTGCGGGGCGAGCGCGGAGGGGCGGGAGTTACGGGAAAACCGCGGGGGAGGGCAGAGGGGTGAGGTCTTTTGCAATTTCCCGTCTTGCTGCGCACTCTTGGCACTCCTGGGACCCACAGGAATTCGCCTCCCTTCGGTCCCGCGGGGGAGGCGGACGCGATCCTGCGGGAGGCGCGGCCTCGCCACCCGGACTTTGCGGGCGGGCGGGCGGCGAGGAGAAGAGGAAGTGGGAGAGGCCTGGGAAGGAAACGCGGAAACCGAAAACTCGGCGGCCGAGGCTCTGCGCCCCGCGCGCAGCGCTGCTCCTGCCCGGGCCAAGGACGCCCGGGACAGCCGGCGGGACCAGAGGGAAGCCGAGTGACCGCTGAGGCCTGGGCTGTGTATCCCACAGGGGCACTTGTCGTCCCTACCCAGAGGCCAAACCAGTGAGATCCCCGCCGAAAATCTTCAGGCAAGAGAAGTCCTTTAACCAAACTTTTGGCTGTGATTCCATTTGACGTCCAGAGCAATGAAACCGTGTTTGAACCGAGTCATAGGGTCCCCGTGTCCCCCCCACTCGCGTTCTATCTAAAAACGCCCTGTCCGAAAAAGTTTCTTCAGCTGCAACAGTTGCGAAGCCTTTGCTACACATGGTTTACTTTTCCCCTTAAAAATGCCTTTCAGTCTTTACCGTGTCTGAGCCTTGGAAAGGCGCGTTTGACCTCCCTTAGTTACAGGATAACGGAGCCTTCCGAGGCAACCTCGGACTGGCAGAGGAGCGGGGTCTGGCTCGGGGGTCCCAAAGCCTCGCCTGTCTGGATGCCTGACAGATCGGCTGGCAAGGGGCCTTGCTCCAAGTCAGCTGAGCCTGGTTTGGTTTGAGTTCGGGGACCTTGGAAAGTGTCACAAAAGGAAGGTGGTGTGAAGCGGGGTGCGGGGCGAAACCAAGAGTGATCGACGAGTACCGACGGTAAGCATATCTTAGAATCCTATCTTGAATGGACTGGATGACTCAAAATAATGTCAGAATTATTTTAAAATGTTAGTTTTATGTTTGTTCACATATCTGGCTCCTCCCTAATGTTATCCCAAGGAAAGTTGGGAGTCTTTTTTTTTTTTTTTTTCCTAAAACAAAGGCCTAAAGGCCCTAATACACTTAATGCCTAATGGTGCCAGAAAGACTGTGTTGCATAATAAATATTTGATGATAATAAAAGGTATTTTTGTCTCAATAAATGTATAGTCCTTTGCCACACCTCTCATTACTTGAAGACTTTTAAAGAGTCCATTAGTTTAGCCGTCTGCATGGTTATGGAAACTGTCAAGCCCAAGAGTTGGAAAGGTTTTATGATTTTGTATTTTACAGAGAAAAAAATTATTCTTTATAGAAACAGTTAAAAGAGATCTCTCTTCTAGCAGATGAGATGTAAAATAAAAATATTCAGCCCAGTATGAATTTCTAAAAAGTGAATCTTAATTTATTTGGGGCTCCTATTGCCATTGAAGAAGGCTGAAGTGTAAAAATTTTTTACAATAAAGTGCTCACATACAATTTATCTGTTTTTGCACCATTCTAATTTCTTACATTTATACTTTATTCTAGAATCTAGTTGCAGTAGCACTTATACATTTGCCATCATGTCCTTAACAGTGGGTATAACTTGTCCATAAAGTCAGATCTACCCCAGACCTCAAAATATCACTTTATTTGGAAGTAGTTTCGCAGATTTAATCAAGTTAACCTGAGGTCATACGAGAGTAATCCAGTGTCTGCTGTACTCCTCTAAAGAGGGGAAATTGGACACAGACACCCACCCAGAAAGAACACCGTGTGACCATTGAGACAGATATCCTGCTTATGCTGACTCAAGCCAAGAAATGACAAGGTTGCCAACCGTCACCAGAAGCTAGGAGAGAGGCATGGAATGGGCTCCCTTTAAACCCCTAAGAAGAAGCCACCCTGCCAATGTCTTAATTTCAGACTAAGAGAATACATTTCCTTAAGCCAGCAAGTTTGTGGTAATGTTTTACTGCAGCCCTAGGAAACTGATACATAGTATGAGGAAAGTGATACCATGTTCCTATCAACTATTGTCCTGAAAATAGCTAATAGGAAAAAGGTGAAAAATACCAATGGCTTATTAAGCTAAGAGCTGAAATAGCCATCCTTACTTAGCTTTGATAAGATTGTGTGCCTAAGGCATATATTATTCTACTTCATTAAACACTCTTTCTTGTGTTCTCTCTTCCTCTTGATTTCAGTAGCAATACTCTCTCCATTCCTTCTTCATTTCCCTGACTTCCTTCCCTGTCGTATTTTTGGGCTTCTTGTTCTCCACTTGCCCGCTAAATGTTGGTGTTTCCCAGGGCCCCATTCTTGACCTTCTCTGAATTCACAGTCTTCTGCATGATCACATTCACATCTAGGATTTCAATGATCACGTGTGCCTTGAGGGCTCTCAGCTCTTCCTTTCCATTGCAATGATTTCATCTGCACTCCAAACCAAAGTATTCGTACTTCAAAATTAGTATGCCCAAATTCAAACTCTTTAGTTCTTCTTACTTGATTTTATTATACTAAGTGAATGGTCCAGCATTTAACCTTTACTAAGTTAATGAACCAGCCTTCATTTAACCTGTACTAAGCTTTAACCTTTACTAAGTTAATGGTCCAGGTTTCTAGACACTAGAGTCAAAACCCTGGGAATGATTCTCGATCCATCCTCTTTCATCTTCCATCTACCATTGGAAAATCTCATATGTATTACTCTTATGGGGGAGCAATTAGTGAAATGTATCGCTACCCTATCTAACTTCTCAGAGGAAGAATAGTTCTATGACAGCCAGGAACATTATATTCATCTATATGTAGATATCTATATCTACATATATGAAATCAGCTATGTAAATTGTAAAATACCATTATGATTCTATTTATCCAACTACTGTAAATATCTATAATTACAAGTTTAGCAGCATCTTGTTACCAGCTGATGGAATTTGAAGGAATTGGGGATTTTGTGAAGAAAGTGGCTTCATCACCTAAGCAGCAGATGATGGTTTACAATGACCCTCATCTACAAGTTCTGTACAATTCTGTATTTTGTTGGCGTATTATCACATTTGACTTTATGTGTGTTTGTGTGTGTGTGTGTGTGTGTGTGTGTGTGTATGTGTGTGTGTGTGAGACAGGGTCTCTGTCATTCAGGCTGGAATGCAGTGGTGCAATCTTGGCTCACTGCAACCACCACCTCCTGGGCTCAAGGAATCCTCCCACCTCAGCCTCCCAAGCAGCTGGGACTACAGGCGCACAGCACCACGCCTGACTAATTTTTGTATGTTTTATAGACTAGACTGGTCTGGTGCAGTTACACATCTAACTTCTAAATATCCAACAAGGTGACTCAGCAATAACAAAGCAAGATGTTGAGTATAAGGAGACTACATGGGACTTTCTCATTTTATCATTTTCGGAATTCCCTATAATGACTTAATGATGAATTGTTTTTCTTTCAAAATCTGTTACGTGAATTTAAGTGATGAATATGTTATCCATAATAATTCTACAGGAATTCCTTGATTAAACTAGATATTATCTGAAAATTGATTGATTGATTGATTGATTTTGTACATTCCACTCTCTTCTGGATGTTGTAATTGCGCTCACGCCTTGTTCCAGAAGTCATCAGAAACCAGACAATGGGGAGAACCTTCCTGGATCTTTTACTCTTTTTTCCCCTCAGGGACGTTAGGGAAAATATTGAATATGTGTTTGTTTAGATAGCTGCTTTTATTCTCTTGGCCTATGGTTATGGCACTTACTAAATTTGAGCGCAGCTGTAATGCTAAAAGATAGAACATTAATACAGTGAGAGAGGAAGTACTGTAGAGAGAATTAGACGGGAACTTTTGGGACTTTTGAAAACTATTGGCTTAAGGTTAATCCTAAATAAATCTGTGGTTGTATTTATGTTTAAACTGAATCTCTTACAGAAAACATATAGTTGAGATTTTTTTAAAAAGTTGACCAATAATCTCTGCATTTTAATTTGATAAAGACTGTTTAGTAGACTTACATTTAGGGCAATCATTGATATGCTTGTGTTTAGCCTACTATTTTACTATAGGTTTCCTGTTTTGTTCTCTCTGTTTTTTTCTATTCCTCCTTTTCTTTTTTTTCTGGACTATACAAATACTTTTTATCTTTTTATATTTTCATATTTATTTTAGAGATGGGGGTCTCACTACATTGCCCAGGCTGGTCTCAAACTCCTGGCCTTAAGTGATCCTCCTGACTCAGCCTCCCAAGTAGCTGATATTGCAAGCATGAGCCATCATAGCTGGCTTTGAACACTTTTTAGAATTCCATTTTTATTTGCCTTTTGTTTTTTCTTTTTTTTGTTATTCCTTTTTGCATGATGTCTTAATGTTTTCTCTATGGGTTACACTGTACATTCTTAATTTCCACTGTGTACTTGGAAAGTATTGTACCTTTTCACTTAATAGGTTCATTTAACCACACACTGCATCTTTTACACTATATTTGTAAAGTATATTACACCTACAGACAAGATAAAACCCACAATGTAATATGTATTTTAAAGAAATTAAGAGAAAAGCGTTTATATTTATATACATATTTACGTTTAATCCTTCCCAAAGATCTAAATTTCTCCATGTTAGCATTTCTGTAAACCTAAAAAACTTACTTTAGTATATTTTTTATTGCAGGTCTATTGGAGATACATAGTGTTAGTCTTATTTTATTTGAAAAAAATCTTTATTTCACTTTGATATGCTTGTGTTTAGCCTACCATTTTCCTGTAAGTTTTCTGTTTTGTTCTCTCTGGTTTTGTTGTTCTGTTCCTCCTTTTTTTCTTTTTTTTTTTCCTGGATTATGAAAATACTTTCATCTTTTTATATTTCTATTTTTATTTTTTTAGAGATGGGGTCTCACTGCATGGCCCAGGCTGGTCTCAAACTCAAGGAATTCTCAAGCAA